GCGTCGAAGGCTCCATCTATTGGTGGGGAGCTACACCTGCTGGAAATCGGGTCCAGCGTCCCTGTACAATTATGAGAATGTATCTGCTGGAAAACGGGTTCAGCATCCCAGTACAATGATGTGAATGTATCTGCCGGGTATCGGGCCCAGCACCGCTATGCCAAACTACAAAACCCTAACAATCTGTATCTGTCAAAATCAAAACACACAACCCTAACACTGATATGACGTTCTGTGTATGATCTTTATCCATCGAGTATGTGATATGGTGCATGTGAACACTATCTGAGATATACTCGATCCAAATGTTTCAAAGATGAGCAGAGGCATTGATTACTTCCCTGCGACAGGGAAGGATTGACCTCGTGCTCATGAAATATTATTGTATCTATAAAGCCGCCAACATCAATCACCCCCGGGAGGAGAACAAACAAAACAAAACAAAACAAAGCCAAACTCGAAACCCTACCCTACCTACATCCCTTGGGGGCGATCGACACCCCTTCATGATTAGAGATTGAGGGCCGGTCAGCTCTAATCAAAGAAAACGGGGTTGGACGTCTATCCAACTCCCACCCGATGGCAGAACGAGTCACCATGTAGAAACAGCAGAAAGGAAGGGGGGGAAACAGCTGATTGATCCTTCAACCCCAAACCCCATCTCGCCAGGCCCATTACTCCGCATATAATCCTCTTATTAGCCTGGGGCTTCTTTCCCAGCGTGCTGATGCTGTCTGCCCTGCTGCTCCCATGGCCATAACCACTTCCACCGGCGTCGTCGTCGTCACTGCCACCGTCGTCACCGCTGCCGCCATCATCGCAGTTGTTATTATTATCATCCCCATCGTCGTCGGTATTATTGTTATCTGGCCCAATTCCCACCACATCGCTGCTGTCGTGGTCATCGCCGTTGTTGTTATCGTCGTTACTATTGTTGTTATAATCTTTGTTGTTGTGCATATTGTTGCTGTTGTTGTTGTCGGTGCTGACGCCGGAGTTGGCCTTGTCTTCCTGCGCTCCATTCGCCTGCGAGAACTCGTCCTCCATGACGTCATCGCCCACCAACCGGTCCTCCAGCTTTTGGCGCAGGTCACGGCCCTCAGCGAAGAGGGCATAACAGGTAGACATCATGCCTTGTGCCGTCGTCCAATTATTAATAGCTTAAAAATTGGGGTTGTCTAATAAATTACTATAGAGAGAGAGCATTTCCGGACCCCCCAAAAAAGCATAAACGGGCCTGAAAAAACCCCAAAACAATTTTGGGGGCTTGGCTCCTCAATGGGGAAGGGTCCTGGGCCGTTTTTTTTTTTTTTTTTT